GTGTGTGTGTGTGTGTGTGTGTGTGTGTGTGTGTGTGTGTGTGTATACATACATATATGTATGTATGTATGTATATATATTCATCTTAACAGATTCACTATTTATTATAGTTTGTAACTCATCCAGTTTTCATATGAGTGAGTCTGCTAACTACAAGCACCTGGCAAAATCATCATATGAAAACTGGAGTAGTCTTAAAACAGATATTCCCAGCCAGAAGGTGTGAGGAGCTAGGGAAGTCTTCACATCTCAGGCTAACCGAGAGGGATGTGGGTCTCACCATCTCTCTCCTTCTCCTTTCAGAAGAAAGAATTTTGCAGGCCAACAATAGAGAATTCAACTCTCTTTTTGACTATCCGGTAAGTCTCCTGCCTGCCACTATTTCAGAAGTGGGTAGTGTTCTGAACATTCTCCTTTTGAGGGAAAGGAAGACGTCGCTATTGATGCAGAAACGACAGCCTAGATGCCAGCTTAAGCCCCCCTGTCATACACGGTGCAATGAAGGCCCAGAGGCAAACTTAACCCAGTCCTTCACTCGGGAGAACATGTCTGGGATTCTGTATTATGTGTAACGCCCAGAAAAGAAGTCTCCTGGCTTTCGTACAAATACCCCCACGGATCTCCTGTGTCGTCTCCTAGACTTCCATGACAGCACACGCTCGCCGGCTCTGCTTGCTCCATTGAGCTGCTGTTTCCCGTTTTACTGATGAACCTGTGCAGCCAGCCTCTGTGCGTGGACATTTACAGTGTCTCCAGTATTTTCCTGTGGTAAATGGTGCTAGGTGAACTTCATTATGTGTATCAGTGGGCACTCCTGTGTGTTTAAATGTTACGAGCTTTCTGGAGGTGAATTGCCTAGGCCTAAAGGGACACACATTTAAAAAACAAAACACTGGTGACACATTTTTGCAGCTTGCCTTCTGAAAAGGTTATATCCATTTACACATTCACCCACCATAGCAAGCCTCTCATTTCGTATTTTTGCCAAACCAATTTTGATTTTTGGTTTTTTTCTGAGGCAGGGTCTCTTGGTAGCCCAAGCTGGCTTCCAATCGGCTGGCTTTCTAGCGCCCCCTGGGGCTGCAGCCTTGCAGTTCCTAGGCCCGGGTTAAGCTACTTATTATCAGTTCCTTCCATCCCTGCCAGCTCTAGATGAAAAACGACATTTCTTACCCATACTTTCCAATTTTTTAGTGAAATCAATCATCTCTTTTGTTAATTAGCCTTTTGTATTTTTTAAGACTACCTATTAATGATTTGCCCGATTTCCTGTTTGATTTTTCATTTTTCACTCATTTATTTATGAAGTAATTCATAACATAGCAAACATTTTATAAAATCGTGCTTCAGCTCCCATCTTTGTTCACATCTGCTCCCTTATAGGTTAGTTTCTCATATACTCACTGGTGCCTTCATACAGTAAGGAAATATGGGCCGGGCGGTGGTGGCGCACGCCTTTAATCCCAGCACTCGGGAGGCAGAGGCAGGCGGATCTCTGTGAGTTCAAGGCCAGCCTGGTCTACAGAGCAAGATCCAGGACAGGCACCAAAACTACACAGAGAAACCCTATCTTGAAAAAACAAAAAGAAAAAAAAAAGAAAGGAAGGAAGGAAGGAAGGAAGGAAGGAAGGAAGGAAGGAAGGAAGGAAGGAAGGAAGAGTGTCCATAAGGAAATATGAGCATATATTCTTTTTTCTATATTTTTACACTATCTGGATCTTAATATTTTTCAGAGTCCTAGTTTCATAATAGCTTTCTACTTTTTCTCTTTTCAGTTATATAGGATTTCCTCTTCAGATCTATCTTTAAACGACCCTTTGGGTAATCTCCAGCCTTAGTCACAAACAGTGCTTTGCCTTCCTTGGTTTGGCTTGGCTTCTGAAAGAAGGCCGGCCTTGAACTCAGAATCCGTCTCTCTCAGACCCCCCAAGTGCTAGAATTACAGGCATATAACACCACTTCAAAGAGTGTCTTACATGTTGTTTCCTACATCTATAGCCACACACACACACACACACACACACAATCATGTGTACATATAACTCAGTATATGAAGACTACATAACCATATGTATTTGTGGTTCCTGCAGGATATTAATTTATGACTTCTGAGTTAGAGGTTCTGGATGATAACCATGGTACAGTGTGGTAGTGGGAGGGACTTTCCCTTTCTCTGTTCAGAAAACAAAGCAGTGAGATACAGGAGAACTAGCTCTGGATATCATACAGACCTAAATGTGACTACAGCGGCGCCCTTACTCTCCTTGAAGCACTATACAGTTGTTTAATGTCTCTGATCTTCAGTTCATTCATCTATAAAATAGATGTGGTAACACTCACCTTATATGATGGATATGAATTTCAGTACAGTTATACAAATGTTAGTTCTCTTTCTCCATAACTGTGACCCTGTCTCGTTCACCTCTGTATTCATAGTTCCTGCCACAGGTTTAATATATAGCTACGTTCAAAAATTATATCCTGAGTATTGAGGGAACAAACCCAGTTTTGAGCTAGCTTCCTGGTTCTTCCACTTGTGTTTGCTTTTTGTTGTTATTGTTTTTATATTTTACCTATAGGACAATACCATCAAGACCTCAAAATACAATTTGTTTAACTTCCTGCCCATGAACCTGTTTGAACAGTTCCAGAGACTTGCAAATGCTTATTTCCTTATTTTGCTGTTCTTACAGGTATGGCCTGCTAAGGCATTTTCCAGTGTTTTCTTATCTTCTCCGGGGTCAGGTCATGTGATCAGTACCTAGACTGGAAGATATGCTCTTATTTGACATTGACAGATGGGTGGCTGGGGCCTGTGACCAGCTCCCTAGCACAGCAGAGGTCAGGGTTATCCGTGTGAAGCAAGCCTCCGTATGAAGGAGACAAAAGGAAGGAGTCCTATGGGGCGGGAGTTCCTTCGGTGTGACTGGACAGCCGCAGTTCAGCTTGACCATGAGAAAGCAGATTCTTCACCCCAGCTCTAACTACAATCCTATTCCGCTGTGATAGGAGTTGACACATACCAAGGGAAAAGAATGTTATAGAGTATAAGGGAGCCAGCACAGGGGGAGGGATCTATGTAGGGTGGCCTCATATTGAGAGAAGGGGACAGATTGTCTCCCCATCCCTTGTACTGAAAATGTGGGAGAATACACGGTCTTCCCATGCCCACTGTTTTCAAATCATTTTAGTTTTATGTATGTGTGCTTACATGCCTGGTACCATATGCATGCCTGGTACATACAGAAGAGGGCATCAGAACCTCTAGAATTGGAATTAAAGATGGTTGATGCTGGGAATTGAACCTGGATCCTCTGGAAGAGCATCCAGTGCTTTTGACCATGGAGCCATCTCTCTATCCTTGCCATGTAAACTGTAAACACTCTACCTTCCGATACCTTTCATTATTGGGGAGGAAATGACTCTTTCCCATTAGGACTAAGGCAGAGACATTCACAACATGTAAGTGGCAACTTACAGCCTTTTGGGGAAATGTTTACTTGAATTTAGCAATGTAGGGAGGTTATAACAAGTGAAGAGTAACTATAACCTTTTGGTTTATAATAATAAACCCAGAGAGGTAAAAATGATGGTGAAGGCAAGAAATTTGGGGAAGTGTGTTATTCTTTAGGATTCCCGACCTAAGACCTCTCTATTTCCTTCTCAAAGTTGATTCCTCAGATCTCTTCCCTGGCGTGGTACACAACCGTGATACCCCTGATCGTGGTGCTCTCCATAACCGGCGTGAAGGACGCCATCGATGATGTGGTGAAGTAGCTTCCGGGGCTTCCCACACTATACCTAGTAATCAGGCTGTGGGCAAGAAGACTTCCAGAGCTACCTTGTGCCAAGAAATGCTAAATAGAGAGATGTTTCTCATGCTTGTTCCCCTATCTATCCCAGAGGTTATATCATGTCCACAAGCCCATGACTCTGCTTGGTCCCTGCTTGGCCAGAAAGGGGCTTTTTTCCTGCTCCACCACTGTTAGCCTTTCCTCCAGACTTCCTTCCCTCTCTCCTCAGTAACCCAGCCCTGACCCCTTAGCTTCGGCTGGCTTTCTTCATCTGACTCTCCTCCCACTTCACACTCCTTCCCCTTCCCCTCTGTCCTCTGTTCCTTCCTTTTCCTGATCCTTCTTTCTTCTCTCCCTCCACATTCCCCTTCTCTCCAGCGTTCTTTATTTCCCTTTCCAAATGCTACTTCTGTGTGGCATGCACAGCTAGGAGCCCTGTGACGTCATCAAAGACCCACTCTTTTCCTGGCCTTGGAAAGAGAAACTGGCCTGCCACAGCCAGTGCTAATTGGAAGGGGTCGGCCTGGATCTGAAACCTGCAGGTGGGGTTTGGGAAGCCAGCCTTGCAGTGTCTTCAAAGAGGCCTGATTTTGTCAAGACACGTTATGGACCCGAGTTTAAGAGTATGACATTTCCCACTCTTTTTAACTCGGTAAAATATAGGCTTAGCACATGTAGTGGTTTAAATTTCAGTCACAACCCAGACAAACAAACGGTGCTGTATAAGCCCATTTTAGCTCAGAACTACATACATCCCTGGTACCGTCTCCTTCTAGTGAGAACTGAAAACTCAACTTGCCAACATAAGGCAACCCAGCCATTTCTGGTTCAGAACTCGGTCTCTTTAGATTAATTGTTGGGAGAACCTTGAAGCATGGAAAACTGAGTATTCTGCCTGCCTTGCCCCTTCCCAGTCCTGGAAGAGCCCCACTTGAAGGGGGTGCTTCTTGTGAATCCTGTCACTGGGGCATGTGCTGTATGTGTTCTTTCGCTGCCTCTGAATATCGGCCCTTCATTGGCACATCCGCTGAAGTGTTTCTGTGTGTTTCAGGTTCTTTGTACAGAAAGAACTCCCCAGTGCTGTCGGCCTGCACCCTGTCCTCTTAGCTCTTGACTGAGTCATCTGTTTTCAAGCTCCTAGGCTCTAGGGTGCACACGCACACGCACACGCACACGCGCACGCGCACACACACACA